GAGCCAACATCTCTACAAGGACTAAACCTCACGCTGTCCTTGCTTCCAACCAAGCAGCTCCCAGTTTAACTACAGTCGTCCCCTTACGCTCCACATAACTTTAGATAAGTACTGGAGAGTAGTATTCCCTCTGCCCTAACTGTCTGCAATGGGGTTGTTCTTCACTGCTTTAACAGGATGGCTGTATACCAGAAGGAAGCCCTGATTAGTTTGTGTGAAAGCCAAAGCATGCCGTGCACTTTGATTCATTGAAGTCAAGTTTTTCTAAGTCCATGGACCTGCTTCTCAGAGCACCAGAAAGCAGCATGCCCCTAGAGTTTCCGTGTGCACTTGGACGCTTTCTGGAGCTCATTGTTTTGGGGCTACATCTCCATAATCCCAAAGGCCTGGAGCAAATCCAAACTTCCAAGAAGCCAAGGAATGATCCAGGACAATTTTAGTACATCTTGAAATGGATACAACATACTCCTGATATTGAAAACATGGATGACTGTCCTTTCTGGATTGAAATTCCTCCATTCTTCTTTTTTCAGTGTCTATGGATCAGTATTATTCTTCATTTTACAGGAGGCAGCGGAGACTCACACAGGACTGAATGGGACATTTAGGGCATTAAACTGGACTAGAGATGAGATTGCCATGCTGCCAACCTCACGATCCCTGTGATGAAAGATGTTTTTGAAGATTCTAATATTCAGTTTGGCTACAGCCATGCCACTTGCCCAGCAGAGGCTAACTATGATAGACTCCAGGAACTGGAAACCAGGCAAGAAAACACAGATGGCATGAGATAGACCTGCAGAATTTCACATAAAGATTTGTGAATCTGAAGCACCCTCCAGAAGAGACAGAACCTGAGAGCAACATCTATATGAAAAAAAAAAAAAATGGTTTTAGTCTGAGATGGATGATGAACGAAGTGACAGAAATGGGTGTGTAGCTTCTAATTACCTCACCTGTATATCTGTAATGTTTGGGTATCTGGTGTTTGCAGAGCCCCACCCCCACCTCCAGGAAACATAGGAACAGTGAGAAGATGTTTAGTCAATATCTCGTTTTAATGACTGTTCTAAGTGCAATATTCTTTAGCCCCTATAGACAGCAAGAGCAAAAGGCCTTATGGTGTATAAAAAGATGAAAGTGAGATTCAATAAGAGAAATGTCCTCAGATCTGGGAGATCTGTAAAAGAGACCATTCTCTGCTCCCACTGGGCTTTGTAGGACAAGCTCACTTTTCACCCCTCCCATTGCTGGGGCATACTTGAAAAAAGACCCTCAACATATCTGAAAGAGTCTAATTTTGTTGCAGAAAATTAGACCCTTCTCATCAGTTAATTTTCCACCCCATACTTCTGAAATAAAAGAGCTAACAATTTTTTTTTTTTTTTTTTACAACTAGGGAAATAGACTTGAATTAATGCCACAGGCTAGTTGATGGCAGCAAACCTTTCTGTGAAGGGCAGTCATTTCCTCCATCATACTTTCTGCTTGACCATGCATCTAATTCATGACTAGGTAATAAGTGTGACTGCCTTTCCTCTTCCTAAAAAGAATTTCAACCTGTATACCAGAATTCTGAGTGTTTATAATGAAGCTGAATGATCCCAATCATGTGTCCCTTACAAGACAGTTTCTCTTCTCTCTTCCCTTTTTCTAAAATCTCAGTTCTTCTCGTTCTTGGTTCCTTCATTACACCTATAGAGCTTGAAAGGCATTTTGACTCTGATTCTTTTGTCTCTCCTCTACAAGTGCTCCAGTGATATGAATGCTATTAATATTCAGTGTTACAATGAAGAAACGGGGGTCCTCTGACATCAAAAAGCTTTACCAAATCACCAGGTCACAGAGCCTGCTGTACTCAGAGAGCTAGAATCCTGGTCTTCCCACTCCATCTCACTTCGCTTCCCAGTTTTACCACTTAACCAGCTTTCTTCCCTCACCCTCCACTCCTTTTTTTTACCTCGCTTCTGTCCAGCTCTTTTCTTCACTGTCCCCTAAGCTTCTTATTCTTCAGCTTCTTTACCCTTTCCTTCTTTGTGGATGCTAGACACATGCTTTGGGAGTCCATCCCACTCTATTTTTGTCTAGTTTGTAAGTACGTGGTTTATCCGAATCACAATTGATCATGGTCATAGCCTACACGGTGCGGCACTCACCAGCTTACTTAAAATGTTCACCATTTCCATTTCTTCCCTTATTTTGACTTAGAGTCCCAGACTAGACGTGTGCAGCTCTGGAGCATTTTCTGGTGTGCTATTGTTGACTAAAGGGCTTAGAAGAGTTCTCAAGGGCTATAATCATTTAGAATCCCCATCGTTTGTCTTGGTGCTGGGTATTTCCCATGGCTGATCCTTCAATAATTTACGGAAGGTCAAACTAGGCTAAGTCTGGTTTCCCCTTTCTTACTGCTTAACAGCTGTGAACTTAGTTACTCAAGTCAGTTGGTCGAGAACGCATCTTGCCCTGTTGACTTTTCCTGTCAGCTAGGTCTTGTATCAAGCCCCAATCCCTAAGTGGAAATACTCAGTGCTTGTTTCTATCTCAAGCTTCACCTTCAGTCTGTTTATGCATTGCTCTTTGGTTTCCCCACCCTCAAACAGCTGCACATACAAGCATTCTTTTGAGTTTCTTGGTTCACTCTAGACATCAAACTAGAGTTACAAGTAAAAACGGAAGTTTTCAGAGCAAGATTATGCTAAGCCAGACAGCAGTGAGGTGAAGAAAAGGAGACAGGGCTCAGGCAATAGCTCAGTGGGTCAAGTGCTTGCCACACAAACATGAGAGCCTGAGTGTGATCTCCAGAATCCACAGGGGCAGCCAGGCATTGCGACACTGGTAATCCCAGGGTGAGGAGGCAGAGACAGGAAGATTCGTGGGCCTCAGGGCTTCGCTAACCAGGTCACCTGGCCTAGATGTCTTGGCAAGCTCCAGGTGAGTGTGAGACCCCATCTCAAGAAACAAAATCCCAACAAGGTGGATGGTGCCTGAGGAATGACACCTGAGGTTGACTTCTGGCACACAAGTTAAGATCAATATGCTTACTACATAAACATGAACACACAGAGAGACAGAGAGAATCCTTCTTCCTCTCATGTCTGTCTTATAAGAAACCCCTCGTTGTGTGAATTCAGTGGCTGCAAATGTATCTAACTATGACCTCGGTGTGCTTGCTAACTGGGCTCATCATCTACTCACCACACTGTGCAACACTCGCTCTGTGTCAAGTACCAGATTGGTACCAGGCTCTAAATAGACCCCATGATCTTAGGTCTATAAAAGTCTGCATGCGTGTGTCTGTGTGTGCATACACTCGGGCACAGGCACGTGATTCCGATAAAAATCTCCGTTCATGTCATGTCTCCGAAGACTGCTTGTTCTCGGTTTGCTCTGCTTACAGCTTGTGGCTGCTGCCCACCTGGCTCCTGCTAACACACAGTCTGCCCGACTTCCGGCACCCAAGAAACTAACCTCAGAGAATAAACAGTACTCAAAAGTCTAAAACGAAACATGCTAGATGTGGGATCCAGCCTTTCAGTCTCTCCTTTTTCTCCTCTACACAAATACAAAAGAACGCAGGAGAAGCGCTTTCTTGAGCAGCATCACACATTTCCTAACCAGGTGGGGAGATTGCTAACTGAAGGGAAGATCTAACGTAATGAAGGCCCAGGTGGCTTCACTGTAGAGAGCCTAAGGGCAAAGATGTCTTTCAGTTATCTAGCTTCCTAAAGGAGCCAAGAGCCTCTAAAGGGGAAAGCATAGCAAGAAACAAATGAGGATTCAGTCCACCACAATTGTTGCGTATTGGGGGGCAGGGTTGGAGACAAGGTTTTTTCCCCTGTAACCCTGGCTGCCCTGGAACTTGATCTGTACACCAGGCTAACCTCGGAACTCAGAGATCCACCTGCCTCTCAAGGGCTGGGTGTAATGGCGTGCACCACCACACCTGGCTCTACCAAACTCTTACAACAATGCTGATTAAGACTGAAAATGGGGCTGGAGAAATGGCTTAGTGGTTAAGGGTGTTTGTGGCTCTTCCAGAAGACCCCAGTTTAACTCCCAGTACCCATGTCACATGGCTCCCAACCACCTGTAATTCCAGCTCCTTGGGATCTGATACCCTTTTTGGCCAATGAAGGCACCTGTACTTACAAGCACACAGACATGGACATAATACACACAATTAAAAATAAATCTTTTAAAAATATTTACAGATTAAAATTATTGTAGTACAATCTCAGCTACCACTGTAAGAGAGATACTTGCACTTCTTCTCTATAAGACATTATCCCCGAACACTGATTGAAATGACAAATGTTGTTATTGTGTGCTCAGGTGTGACAGTTAAGCCCTCCCCCTCCAATGCTCTTAAAACATTGAAGAAGGAATAGGTAGACTGTGGGATCCAGAGGATGGGGCTGGGTGCTGTGAAATGCTGTCTGGCCACTGATCATGATTATACAGCCATCTATTTGTGACCTGAACAAGACTGGGCCTTTCATCCCATCATGGATGGTTGAGGCTCATGAGGCCCACCCCCCCCCCGCCCTATTGTGGGGAGAGAGGCATTTTCTTTAGGGGTGTAGCCATGAGTAAGTGGCTCATGCTTCAGTAAGCAGACTCCCCTACCCGTGCTCATACAAGCAACCTAACTAAACCCAGTGAGTTACAAAAAGGAATGAAGGTAGGAGGGACAAGCAAAGGTAGAAAGGGGATAAGAGACGATAATGGGGGTGGGTCTGGTCATAATACATTGTACACCTGTATGAACTTGTCAAAAATAGGAAATAATGAACAGGAATTAAATAAAAATTCAAATCCCAAGCAAAAAACTTAGCTATTCCATTTAATTAGGCTGCTTCCCTTCCTGAGATGGAGGCCTACACGTGGCAAATATGCTGGTATGCGCCTGCCCTCAACTTGCTGTGAGCATATCTAGGGATACCAGAAACACTGGCGATGAAGAATACCGACGGACCAAGCAATAAACACACACACACACACACCATTTATTAATTGTAACTCAATACTTTTTTTTTTCCTTTAATTCATACTGGACTTCCATGGCTCTAGCTACTTTACATTAAGATTTGGCTGGGTAGCCTTGTGGGTTTCTAGGTACTAGCAATAAGTTTTCAGACCTTGCGCACAGCGCCAGGCGAAGTACAGTTATAGATCCAAGTACAGACGGCCAGACAACTCAACTGCAGCCAACCTGTGCTCTTTCCTGTGGCCCAGTGCAGGTGCTGGGTGCTGCTCCCTCTGCCTCACCCGACTCCACCCCGTGTCAGAATTATCCAGGGGGCCACTATGGCCTCTGAGCCATCCCTCCCCACCTCAGAGTCTAGGTTGAGGGAGGGGGGAGAAAGCACCATGGGTTTGGGAAGATGGTGTGGTCCATGCAGAGAGTGGTCTGGCCCTAGAGTGCAAGGTAGGGAGACGTGGGATGCCACACATTCTTGTTGGCAAAAGTGACTGTTTTACTGTGCGGTGTCTGCACACAACACAGAAGCCCAGGGCCAACTCCCCAAGACAGCCTGGTGTCCTGCTTGGAGCAAGGGCTGCCATTTTGCTTCTGAGGTGTCGTATTGTATTGAGAGAAGCAAGGAGGACCAGAGGGCAGAGATGACAATGTCCATTAAGCATTCACATGCTGGGAAGATCGTCTGGCATCAGCAAATCTTGGCAGGTAAGTACTTCTCATCGGCAGCCAAGGCTCCAATCCGGGCTCCCAGGCCTGCTGAGGACCTCTCCAAGTCACAAGACCCCTGAGCTGTTGTGCGGCACATCAGAACAGGGAGCTGGCTGAGCCCATCACAATGGCTGGAGCAGGAGTGAGGTAACGAGGCTGGGCAGAGAGGTGGGAGAGGGCTCTCTCTACACCATGTGCAAATCCCTGCTTCATACCAGGAATGCAAGGATGCTGAAAGATTGCCTTCCAGAAAACACTTCTCTGAGACCCAAATGCATCTTCTGGAAGAAGACTTGGAGATAGAAGGGAGTGGGGCCAGCCTGCTGGAGGATACCGGGGTGGGACGGATGAGGGTCGAGGATGGCAAAGGAAAAATGGGAATGATTGCCCCATAGCTTAGAGATGGGGATGGGGTTGGGGTGCGGGAGAGAGTCCTGGAGTGGGCAGGCAGAGTCCAGGTGTGTAGGAAGGGCCATCACAGCCCTGCCACCTGGGGGAAGAGAGAAGATTGCTATTTCTCCTTGGCCATAGAGAGAAGGGCTGGCTTTGGCTGCCCTGCAGAGCTAAGGAAGTGGGATGGGATGGCACAGAAAAGGACCCTTCTGGGAGCACAAACAGTCCAGAAAGAGTCCCCTTGCCAGTCATTTCCCCAACACCTCATCTGACAGGTGCTCTCTGTGATAACAACAGGCCAGTCCCAGCATAGGTGAGGGGCTGTGGACAAGCAGAGAAGCCACTTGAGGCAAACTCCTCTTGAGGTTTCCTGATGCTCCCCACTCCTTGATGCCAGTGCCCTAAGGCCAGCCAAGGATTTTAGCAAAAGTTCCATAATTTATCGAAACTGCAACAGGGTTTTGGCCAAGCAAAACAGAAGTTCTAGAACTGGGAATGGCTTGGCTTCTTCCCATTGTCTCCTCCATCAGTGAGGAGTATGGACAGTAGAAAGGATTCACAGTGCCTGGAGATGGAAGATGAGCTCAGTCCAAAGTGATACTCTTCTTGTCATTAGCCTCTAAGCGGAAACTATTTCCAAACTAAAACTAGGCCAAAAAAGGAAGGAACATTCTGTTGTGCTAACGCTGAAGAAGGCTATCCCTGCCACTGGAAGCCCCTAGCCCTCCTAGCCAAGAACAAAGCAACCTGCCCTGGCAGGACATCTTCCAAGACCAGGAAGTCCTCATCTTGCTAGTCTCTGGCCTAACCTCCAAATCAAGGTCAAACCTAGAGCCCACATTAGAGGTCATTTACTCAGCCCTCTTCCATTAACACTCAGATCCTGAAGCAAGCTCAGTGACGGGGACTTCTCCAAGGCCACAAGACTTTTCAATAACACAGTAGGGACTCAAGCCCAGATCTCTCGACTCGTAGTCCAGTAAAAGCACTCAAATGTCTTGCCACACAAATCCTTACAGAAAGATCGAAGTTTACTTACATCTACAATAAGTGAATGAGACCTGCCAGCTGGGAGAAGTAACCAATGCCTGCCAGCTTCCATGGCCTCCTGCAGGCAGCAAACTGCTTGCCAGGCTACTGTCCAGGGAACTTAATTTGGCTGCAAGGGTGAGCTCCCCCCTCTTTCACAGACTATTGACTAAAGGAAAGAAGGATTTTGTTTGGGGATGAACTGATTTGTTGGTTTCTTCCTGGTTTAAAAGCGTAAGCCAATGCCAAGGACAGAAGGACCTCACAAGAAAGCCATGATTCTTGGAGGCTAGTCTTTACATAGACCTATCACCTTGGTTCACCAGAAAGCAGAGGCCTTCTCTGACAACCTAGGTATTCTCTTCCCCTTAAGGATGCTGAAGGCCAAAGAAAAGCAGCTGTCTGTGGTCAGGGCCGCTTCTGTTACTTTACCTTGTCCCCTCACCCCCAGTGAACACGTGGACATCATTCCAAAGGATCCATAACTACTTTAACAATTAAACTTAAGTAATTACATATGCAATAAATCTGAGAATTTCCAGTTTTGCTTTAAAAAAAATTTCTAGAAATACTTTTGGCTTCTGGCTATTCCAAAGGGAAACTGCCCAACACCCTGTACCAGCTTCCCTTCTTTGACTCAGGGCTCAAGGGTCTTGACTGTCACCAGCACCTCTCTCAAAATCCTAGACAACAACCAAATGACAACCAAGCAGTCTTCGGCCCTCGTCCATTCCAGGGAACAAGTGAATCCATTCACTCACCCCTGCCTTTCCAGAAGAGTGCTAGCAATGTTAGTTAAGCACTGGAGCCTTCTCCCTCCATCAGAGGATAATCCAGGGATAAATCCCATTTTCTGGCTCTGCCCTTCAAGAGTCATCAGATGGAAGAGCAGTAGATACTGTAAGGGAGGGTGATGAATCTATTGAGAAGGACCCCTTGAGATATAAAACCTGAGTCCTGATGGGCTAACATTTAGAAGGCCCTGGACTGGTTCAGGTTTCTAATGTAGCATCTTCCTTTTATTTCTTGGGGGCATTTTATCTCACTGGGGCCAGAAACACACACCTGTCAGAACCCCCACTCCCAAACCTGAGAAACTTAAAACTGAGAGGACCTTGGAGGGGTCAGGTTCTACTTTGCCTTTTCCTGACCAAATGCATACATCTGTGCCAAATCCTCCCTCCAGTGGCTCATACATTTTCCCTACACATAGTGGCACAGAACTGCCTCTAATGCTAATGCTGATTCCTTACCAAGCGTTAATAATATTAGCCCTCTGAATGGCTTGGCTGCTATCCTCACTACTCACAGAGGATTCTGAGCAAGTCCCGCAATCCATAGATCATTCTCTGTCTCCCAAAGCCTCGATGGACTAGGATACCCTGTCTTATCCTGGACAGCAAACTCACAGCTCAAAGGGAAAGAATTAGAGCCACAGACCTGACTTGTTTATAACCACTAAAAGAGGTTTTTTGTTTTTTGTTTTTTTGTTTTTTAAACAAGGTCAAAAAGGCTCTACCCTGGCTAAGAAACAATGTGCTCTTAGGGCACACAGAAACAATAGAACTTTAGGCACTAAAAAGTGACACTCCCCCCAGATCCAGCCTGGGAGAAGACCAGAGAGAAAAGGAGTGGGGGAAGTTAGAAATTCCCAGCCCTTGTGGGGTCCACAACCTACTCAGGTCACAAAAAGGTGTGGGACTGGCTGAGGAGAGTTCCCTTCAGATGCCAGGGCTCAGGAGCCTGCGGCCCCACAGCCCAGGCCCACAAACACAGCCTCTGTTACAGTCCTCAACACCTAGCTTTCAGTGTGGTCCTAACCAATGGCCTCCAGGGGGACTTGGATGGGGCTCCTGCCCTCTCCATCCTTCCCGTTCCCAAGAGAAGGCCTGGGGAAGCACTGGGTGGGGGGTGGGGGAAGAACAGGTTCTCATTTCTTCTAGAGACAAATCAAAAGGGGGTTAGGGAATGAAGCACCTGAAGCCACGCCCTCTTGAAACGTCTGTGAAGACACAAGGGTTTTCACAGGCATAAACTCTGGCTCGGCCACATTTCCCTTCTAACGGCCAAGAATGGCCAGCAAGGGAAGAGGTGAGGAACAGAAGATGGGAGGAGGAGGATCAGGGGAGGTTGGTGCTGAGAGGTGGTCCCTGCCCTCCTCGGTCCCTCCACAGTGGAGGGAAAACGCTGCTCTGGCCGGCACAGGGGGCGGGAGTTCCCGCTCCTTCTCCCTGGTACATAGGCATTATCTCTTTTTTAAAATCTGTATATAATATATATTTATATTCTGTATATATATATATATATATTTATATATATTTATAAGGTCTATGTACATGTATTGCACAGGCCTCTTGTAGCCACCCCTGGTCCTGCCTTGTCAATGATAGCGGTTCCTCTTCTCGTCGCTTTCAGATGTGTAGTCTCGGGACCTGATACCATTCTGAAGGTTGATAAGCGAGTCCTTCATCTGTAAGACAGTGCTCTCAGTGAGTCTCCACAAAGCTGCTGCCACCACACCCATCTATGGCCTGTCCCTAACCATGTCACAGAGCCAACAGAAGCTACAGGAGTTCCCAGGGGCCTCAGCCTAAGGCAGAAAGGGGTCAGCCTGTCCAGCCTTGGAAATCCCTTAGGCTTGGTTATTTGTGACTCCTTATATCAGAAAATTACAACCATCTAGTCACTCTAAGGAGCCACCCTGAACTACCATTTACTTGGCCTTCAACTCTAATCATATATATATATATATATATATATATATATATATATATATATATATATATATATATATATATATCTGCCTTTCTTTCTCCTAACTTGGGATGCTTTCCAAATTTTACCCAGTTGGAAAGTCCAGAAACAATACAAACTTTCTAAAGTCACAATCACCCTTTCCTTCGGTGCCAAGCAGATGGAAGGCAAGGCTCTTCCATCTGGAAATTAATATTTGGGGGTATGAGATGAAGTCCAAAAGCAGAGGCTCCACCCAGAGAATCTTCAAATGGTCCATCATATAACAGCTGCTTAAATACTGAGTAAGCTACCCTGTTATAATGACAGGTGGCATCTCCATCTCTAGGCACTGAGAACTCCTGGTCTCTCTCTTTCTGCCTCATCTTCTCATTTGATTTCTCTGTTTCTTCTAAACCTACTCATCAGGCAGGAAAAGGGGCCATTTCTGTGCATGTGTAGGTCAGAAGAAAACTTGCAGAAGTCTCTCCCTCTATGCAGAGATAAAACTTGGGTTGCCAGGTTTGGTGGCAAGCAACTTTATAAAGAGCCAAACCATCTTACTTGCTCCTCAAAGAATTTTTAACATACTTGTCTTCCTGGAAGACAAATCACTAATTCAGGATTTCTCTGTGAAAGAGTCTGTCTTTCATCCCTCTGTCTATTAATCTATTTCTTAATTTGTTATTATTTGGGGGAATTCCTGTGTTTCTAATACTCCACCGAGGAACAACTTTAAAAACAAATCAAGGGATGGGCCAGAATAATAATAAAAAGGAGAAGAATGTCAGAATGTGGTGTGGAAGACTGTGGCGTTTCTCAGTACAGAAGGGAAGGGGCTCAGTCTCCTGAAGATGAGGGACTGTGGGCATCTCACCTGGTCAAGGAGCATCACTGAGGATTTGATGATTTCCCTCCATTTCTGGAGCTCGGTATCGTGGTACTTTTGTTGGGATTCTAGTAGCTGGGCCCATTCTGTCTGAGACTGGGGTAACCTGTGGGGTAGAAGAAGGGGTACACAGCAGCTTAAAGTTATGCTTAGTGGCTGTTCTGAGCTCCCAGACCCCAAAGGACAGAGAGTCACATCAGAGTTCTCTTTTTTCTGCTCAATGTCCACACTTCCCTAAAACTTAGGCTGGAAACTCTAAGGACAGATTGGTAGAGATGGACTGTAGACTCATCTCAAAGGGGTATCCTTGAGCACAGAAAATGGAGCAGTCTCAGACAACTGGGTGGGAGTTAAAGTGGGGACAAAGAGGTCAGGCCCATATTACCTTTCCTGTAGCCTGAGACCCTGCCAGGCAGTGAGGGTCTGTGTGGTATATTCCAGCATCCACAGCTTGTAAAAGAGCATCATGTTAAGGATGACCAACAGCACCAGACTAGGAGAGAGACAGGAAAAGGCAAGGGCAGTGAGATGGACTCTGGGCCAGGGATCTCCCCCACTTACCCATGAGGCCTGCCTGCTGGACCAACCCAAGCATTACAGAGAGGGGTGAGGAAGTTGAAGGGGTATAGTAACGGTTGGAGAAAGAGAAGCAACCTAGTCTACCATGTCAGTGACAGAGCAGGAGAGCCATGGAGAGGGGCAGAAGCAAAGGTATTGAAGGCACTGGAAGGGAAGCCGCAGGCACCTGAATCTGGGTGCCTAAGGGAAGGAAGATGGCATAGGTGGAGGGGGGAAGCCATGAGGTAAAAGGGAGCAATCATAGAGCTGGTACCTGAAACAGATCCTAATGGGAGCAGGGAAGAAAAATGGGGAGGAGGCAGAGGTTAGAAACAGGAGTGAGGGAAAGGGGAAAATGCACTTCAATGGAGACAGAGAGCAAGTGAACATCTATGAGGAAAAAAAAAATTATGAGAAGTAAAGACACAACAGACGAGGAGGCCAGGCAAAGAAGGATGGAGGGAGAGCAGTTGCGGATTCTCAGCTTTCCACAGGTGCTAAATCAAGATATTTCCCTATCAACCCAAAGTCATGTAACACCTAAAGGGCCAGACTAAAGGAGGACCTGATATGCCTTTAGGTACTGGAACTTCCTTGATGGTACAATGTCTTCTCCTCGCACTCACCACTACCAGAAGTGATCAGAGGTGGAGAGGAGCAAGGATGACAGGGAGCTTAAAGGATACCAGGAAGTGGAGAGCCAGGGGGCTGGGGAAATTCTCTTCTCTCTGCCTCAGTGGCTGTATAGGCCATTCTGTGACAGAAGCCCATGGGATAGAAAGAAAGGCAGGATGGAGAAGACCCAGAGATGGGAAGAACTGGGACCAAGTCGTACTGCAGCACTTAAAATCTTTTTTAACTTCCTTAAGTTTCCCATTGATCCTGAGACTGTTTTCCCGTGAGGGACACTGCACCTACCCTACTGGGATTGCTCTATGGATTGAAAGGAACATAACTATTAGCAGTAGGCCCACCTCAAGAGCTGGTTCTTAACATGAAAGGATTTTGGAAGAACAGGTACACACAGGAAGAGAGAAGATGGCCATATTGGGAAGGCAAATCGTAGTTGGAAAGGGGGCCAACACAGGAAAGAGATCCTATGTGATTTAGACTGTGTCTCAGACTGTTCAAAGTCAGTGTGTAAGAGTAATGTCAGAGGGCTTACTTGTTTCTCCAGCACTATGGGTGGAAGTGTCCCTTCATCTGTCAGCTGCAGGTCCCCGGGGCTATTCTAAGTTCTCCATGAAAACATTCAGCTTTTGTGTTGGGTTTCAACGCTATCATCTAACTGCATTCGCACACGATGAATCATTTGAATGTCCACCTCTTCAGTGTGCGTGGCATACCACCAAACATTTGGGTTTGTGTTTATAATCCTGGATGTGAAAGTAAAGGTCACGTGCTGTCTGAGGAAAGACTCCCTGGTATGCCAAACTGAGACAAAGAGTTGGGAGGTTGAGTCACCTCACCGAGGGTGGATGATAGCAAGAGCCTGCCAGACACAGATCAGTTGTGCTGTGTCAGTGTGTTCTAAATGCAGGCTATCAGAACCCCAGTCTGGTCTGCATTGTGTTGAGTCAGAAGGCCTGACTATCCAAAACTTACAAAGCCACAGAGTTAGCTGATCCCTATGGGATTTGCCCAGTTGCACGGGCCTTCTCTATTTAGGTAAAACTGAAATGCAGAGAGCACATAAATATGGAACTAACCAAGGTTATAGTCTCTTATTGACCAGTATCCAATACTGCCGTGGTTTTAACAGACACGAATCACATTACACTGGTCTTTTAAGGGAGAGTTTTATAGTTGTCTCTGTTCCTACTGTTGTAATACCATGGTTTCTTGTGCTATCATTTGTTTTCATGATATGCCCTCAGGAAGTAGCAAGAACCCTTTTTATGTTTTCCACAGGCTTTTCTCCTGAAAGGAGTCACCAGGGTCGTCTCTGGTTTCTCTTCTGGCATTCTCTGCATGGATGGTCTCATTTATACCCATTGCTTCATTCTGTCTTCTAAGAGCCAGGACCATGCCAGCAAAGGCATGTCCTCCTCATCTAGATAACCTGCTGCAACTCAGACCCTTGGATTTCGGCATGTCTTCTCTGACAGATTTCAACTAGACTCTATATTTCTCTTGACACAAGCACCTGTAGTCCCTGAAGGTAGATGGACTTCCTTTGAGACATAACTAAAGGGGTATTGAGCCCTTCTATCTGTGATCTCTCACCGCTCCCACCCCCAGTCCTCTCAGTCTGCTGGCCCGTCTGATGCAGATCACTCTAAGCACCCACACTGCTATCAGCCGCAATGCTGGTCTGACTGTGCCACTCTAGCTTCCCCTAGAGCATCCTGAGACTGAGGATGTGTCCTCACCACATATCTCTCCGAGGTTACTGCAGGAGGAAGTGCGGAAGGTCACAGAAGCAAAACTGACCTAGAGGTGGTCTGGTGCCCGGTGCACAGAAGGTAGAGCCACTTCCACACATGAGGGAATTGGCTGAGCCACTCAACCACCTATGCCATCTACAACCCTCACAGTTCAACCCCAGCTAACGGAGTAGGGTGCCAGGCTACAGGCTGAACCAAGCAGAAAAGCTGTCCTCAGCTGCTCTAAATGCCTCCAGTTCAAACAGAATAGCGTGTCCTGGGCACTGATGCCAAGGAACAGGCACCAGTCAGCTGTGTTCTCCTTAAGCCTTCGTTCCTTTGGCTTCTCATCTCCCTGGCTCAACCTACCGTGTAAGCTATTGAACCTATGGTTTTCTAATGCCATGCTAATTATAAGTCATCTGGATTGAAAGAAGCATCTGCCCTCCCTGGACTGGAAGCATTGATTTTGTCTGGCTACCCTGCCAATGACGACTCTGTGTATGACTCTCATGCTGGGCAGAGAGCAGACACTCAGGAGGGCCTCTTATAAATTAATGGACTCTTACAATGTCCTGAAGCATCTCTATGTCAGTCAGCATTTATCTTGAGGAAGGTTCTGAGCACCCTGCCTGTCTCACCCACTTGGCACTGAGCTCCTTAAAGCTATAGACACTGCATATACTGCCCGCTCCCAAAACTAACACACAGGAAGTGCTGAGTAAGAGATGAACAAACAGAAAACATAGCAAATGATCGAGCAACTAATCCAGCCAAGACTAGAAGACAAAGAACAAAGAGAAGGGAAGGGTAAAATTAAGGGGAGAAAATATGCTTGGGAGATGATGATTCTCCTGAACCAGGCAAGACAAGGAAGGGGTTGTAGCCAGGGATGGAGAAGAACCTGGAGTCTCTTACACACAGCTGATAACCAGCAGCAGCTTGGACACGCTTTGTAGGTGAAACCCATTGGGAGTGTCCTCGGGGATATGCCGTGTCTGCGTGGAACCTGTGGAAGAATAAGCAGGGAGTCATCCTGTTCAAGCCCACAAGTCCACACACTGCTGACAGGATACTAGCCAAGCAAGAGCACCAGGGAACTATGCATCAAGCTAACAGTGATCATGTAATTGCATCGCCATCCCTCCAACATGAGGAGGTAAAGTCTGCAAGGTCAAGATTTGGGGCAGATAATTACTGAACAATCGAGAACATGGAGCTAGGTGCACAGGATATAAAGATGTGATTGGCTGGTGAAGACAGGCTAGAGGCTAGAGGCTTTCTAATCAGCTACATGATGTCAGGCCAGGACATGTAATTCCTCAGTCTACTTAAATGTGACATTAATCACAAATGTTATAGCTAAAACACGTAACGATGGAGTGCTCTAGTCGAGGCTGGAGTGGGGAATATGGGAAATCGTGGTCTTCTCCAGTACCTACTCAACTCTGATGAATTCACATGCATGTGAGTTGCATGGTTTGTAAAACACTGGAACCATCAGTTTCTAGGTCTCTTAGAGAGCCCTAGGTGTCCATGACTGATTATATACATGAGGACTCAAAGGGAGTGATGAGAAGAGGAAGAAATACAAAAGGAGCCCACAGCCTAGACAGGCAGGCCCTTGGTGGGTCTGTGAGGGACAAGTGACAAATTCATCTGGATGTGAATCGGGTGTGCATATATGTGCCATGACAGAGGTATGCAGTTCCATCCCCTGGTCTCACTCTACACAACCATTCCCACCTGGAACACACCTGCCACGTGCTTGATCCTGTGGCCCACATCTTCATCAGTGGGTGTGGTGACCGGGCTCATCACCTCTTCCAGGTGAGGCACCCGCAGGTGCGCATGGGGACGCTTCCTTCTCCGTACTGCCGAAGACTTATTGGCCTTCTCCTTGGGGGACTGTCTGTGCATCTCAGCCAGGTAGGTGCTCTCTGTTTTGGTTAGCTCAGTCTCTGTCAGACACAAAAGGGCCAGGTCAGAGGCCTGTAACTTCAGCTCAGCATGGCATCCACCAGAAGCAGCTTTCTACAAGTACCATATTCCCACTATTCCTTCCCTGGGAGGCTGGCCCAGTGGAAAGATGATCCTCAGAGATGCCCGATGCTAGCTATTTTCAGGGCCAAACCTTGCTTAGAGGACCATGATCACAACCTCTGCCCCTCAGAGTATATAATTTATGGCATATAGCACACACTTCCTAAACAGATACCCTCAAATGTTTCTTATAATAAGATGACACAGTGCCAGTATCACCATATCTGAAGTTCGAGAGTAGGCAAAATCACAGCCCCTCCTTAGTGAATTCAAAGCTTACAGACACAGTCTCTTGAGAGACACATACCACAGACACAGGCAGAATTAGGACCTATGAAACCAATTTACAGTCTCAGAGACCCCCTTATTCTGCATGTTTTTCACCTCCTCTCCCCAGTGGAAAATGGTAGCCAACAGCTGCACAGGCCAGCAAGGAAAGGTTCCTGGTTAGATGACAAGAGGACTGTGGCACCCACCTAAATGGCGGAAGTAGTCCTCCAATCCACTCCAGAAGTTCTTCTCGATGAACGTTTTCACAAACCCCCAGGGCTGTTTTCGATAGCGGAGCTCTGTGGAAACCCTGAGGAACAGGCCATTAAAGACAAGGTCAGCCCTCCTTACTGAGAAAAAAGGTTTGGAAGCATAGATAAGAAGTTAGCAGTATGTTGGTATGTTTCTGCTGTCTGGAGTGTATGTGTGGGGTGGGGGTGGGGGAACAGGACATTTATATATGCTCTGTGGCCTCCCAGCCACAGAGAAAGTTTAGAAACTAAATTCAAACCCCTTTAAGTCCAAGTAGGAAGTCTAGAGCCTCATCACTTACAACTTCGAGTGTCACCTCACCTGCCCGGCCTGCATGCTACACCCAAGACCTCATGAACACTTTGTAAGTGCTCTCTCTCCCAACCACTGCCCATTGCTCTTGCAGTGCTATCACACCCTGCGCCCCCCTCCTGCCCCCCACCCGCCAAATGAAACCCATATCCTCTACCTCTTCCTTGGTTGGATAAGCATCTGTTAATATATTTTTCCCAACGTAATCCCACACACACACATCAAGGCAGTGTGTCCTGAGTTTCCATCTTACCAGGGGTGCTACCTTCCCCGGGGCCTAGTGGGAACATGACCATGCTTGGAGCCTTCTCACACCCCCACCCAACACGTGCTTTCAAGCACAGAGAACAGACTAGCACCTCCTGCGAAGGGTCAGCTGCCATCAGCCATGATGATTTTCAAATGGGTGTGTGTGTGCTGATTTTAAAATTAGGCTACATCCTGCTTTTGATGCCATGGTCTATATTTCTCCCTTCCTCTGAGTGGACAGCATCATATCCAGAACTAACTAGTAATCTGACTGTGAGTAGGCTGAGTGCGGAAAGCTGGCTGTATTAGGTCAAGAGTCCTGTTCTCTAGGAGCTCATTGGCCAACAATGGGAGCAATAGAAAACCCCACTATGTAGAACATGGAACCAAGGGCACAGGGCCCTGTTGCTAAAGGCTAAGCTTTGGTATGTATTGGGGCAGTTGCTCTTCTGATAAATGAGGATAACTCCATCTCCTCAGCTTATTCTAAAAAAGCACAACAGATGTAGTTTAAGTACCTACATGGTTCCATATAAACCATATAAAACCAACCATAGGAATGGTAAAGACCTTTCAAAGAAGACACAGAGTGTTCAAAGGGGCACAAGGTGGAGAAGAATGGAGTCAGGATGAGAAGGCAAGGAGTCTCCAGAAGGCTCCAGGGAGGACATACAAGGTTGAGTATTCCAGCCCCTTCTCCCAAGGAGCAAATGAGCACTGTGCAATTTGCATGCCTCTCCCCACTGGCACCCACACAAGCCTTCATGCAGCACACCTGAGTCTACTCTTGTTCCGGGCCACTCGGGTGAGTGTGTAGCGATTGATGGTGTAGAAGTAGTCATGGTATGGCACATCGTGGGTGAGGACTTCAGCGTCTATCACATAGCATTCACTCTCCTGACTCGCTTTGTACATGGTCTGTGGGTAGGAAAGCACCATTGATCAAAACTGAGGAGAAGTCAGGTAAGAACAGTGCCTCTCCCAGTGTCCCTGCCCCTGGACTCCTAGATGGAGGATAGAAAGTGTGACATCACTTGAACTGGCAGCATCTGAGCCAGTTGGATGCTGCTGCCTCCGGACTAAACCAAGCCTAGATCTAGAGACGTCTTCCCAAGTCCAGCTTTCATCCTTCATGATGTGACAGGATTTCCAAGCACACTCTCGATGTTTCTTCCCTCTCCCCACTCACCTGTGTCTCCCTGACAGTGGCTGTTTTGGGAGCCAGGGGGTTAGTAAGGGTGATCGTATAGAGAATCTCTCTGCTCTGGTTCCCATTCTCCTCCTTTTTCCATGGGTGGAAGATGATATCTGAGGGTAGAGAAGAGGTCTAGAATGAGGAGGGGCCAGCACAACTCCACTTGTCTGAATCTCCCTTCCAATGAACTCCTTGCTCCATGCTGACTACTGACAGCTACCCGTCCCCTGGAAGCCAATAGAGTTTGAAAGCTTGGGGGAGGTGGTGAAGAGGAGGTGGAGTTGGAGCAGAAAGAGGCCCATTGTGTCACTGCCGAAATTCTACAGAGAGCTCCAGAATGCCCATTGTTCCAAGGCTGGGCCAGGAGGTCTTGGGGCCACCTCGCAGGCGTGCAGGCAACATTGGAGTTACTGTGGTAAGAGCACCGGGTCCCCAGGGAGTGTGACCACTCCGTGGCCTCAAGGTGCCTCTCTTTTCAGAGGGTGCCTACAGCTTTTGCCCCAAGGGGATGATTGTCTCTGCTTGGAAATGTTACATCTGGGCTGTGGGAAAAACTGGAGGAATACAGTGATAATAAAGGTATGAGCCCCGGCGGTGCTGGATAAAAATCCTCACTCGGTCCTTCTGGGCTACTTTATACAGGCAGATGGATGACAGTCTGGGGTTCATATTCTGAACAAGTCCGTGCCAGGAACCCCAAGGCCTAAACGTGGCACAGCTGAGCACTCAGTGAGCCAGCGCAACACACTCAGTGCGGCGGGTACCTCCCAAACAGCTGCCCTGTAGTAGACACAGAGCCCTACGGGGACAAAGAGCTGACAGGGCCTGCTCACTGGGAAATCTTTGGAGCCTGGTAGACAGCAGGCAGATGAAAACCTGCAGTACTAGGGTCAGAGTAACTGCGAGGATCTCTGCCACCATATAAGGCCAGAAAGAGGAGCCTGTGACCCTGAGGAAAGAATGGAATATGGAAAGAGGTAGGCAAAAAGGAGGAGGAGGAGGAAGGGATGGAGGAAGGGATGGACAGGGGCCGGCCCCCAGATCAGACCAGAGAAGCGCCGCTGCTCCATGAAGTCCCGAAGGAAGGGTGAGTTGGTGAACAGCAGGTCGTAGAGTTTGTCCACGCTGAAGTTGAAGACTTCGTTCACATACTGTCTTCCACTCAGGTCCTCATAGAAGGCCTGGACCTCTCCTGTATGGAAGAGAAGATGAAGCAGACAGTGTCAGAGGAGGACAGGGGGCTGTGGTAGCGTCCCCAGGGCGCCGATAGCTCTGTGGCTAACGCGGGTGCTGCTGCTAAGGGAAGGGTGGCTGGGCTCAGGGCTCGCTGTTAGTGCTTTTGCCCGCATCTCTTCCCTGAGACCTTGGCTGCTGGTTCTGGGGGCCGCTCTGAGGTCCAGAACTTAGATTCTGACTCAGGACAGGAACTTCCTTTCATGCTGCAAAATGGAGCGATGAAGGGATGCTCTGGGCCCACAGTCAGAGGCTCACCTTCATCGTGGGTGTCTGAAGAATCACTGAGCTCGGTAGGGATGTCCTCATTGTCATTGAAGTCCAGCGAAGGGGAGGTCACGGGTGCAATGATCTCAATCTTCTCCCCTATGATGTTGTCAATGGCAAGCTCCTTCTCTAGGGACCCGTCACCCTCCATCACCTCTTCCTCCAGCGGCAAGCCATCAAACTGCAGTGGAGATCGAGAATAACCTACCAAGGTTCCCCACTGCGGAACTCCCCACTGGGTCAACTCTCTGAAGGGAGACTAGCAACCTGGCCTTAAAAGTCATCCCATTCTCAGCACAGCTTCTGGGGAGCCGGGCTAAGGTTGGGGACTGGGACTGGGTCTGGGCTGAGGGCAGCAGAAGAGGGAATACAGAGAACCAACACTCACTGCCCTTTCTGTGCCATTCAAACGGCACACTGGTCTATGGTGGCACTCCCATTCTAGGTCTTTCGTGGAGCTACACTCCCACCACACTGCTACAATACCAGCCTGCTTATAAACAATACCCTTTTCCTTTTTCCTAAGCAGCTCCGAGGGCTTCATGGACATGTTTGGGGCTTCAATCTCCCATTGGCAACAAAAGAGAATCAATTCTATTCTAAAGCTAAGCTCAGAAATAAAAATGAAGGCTAGCATTCAGTGTTTTCATTCTAAGGCTGGTTAGCCTGGCCAAGCGTGAAATAAAAGGTTCCCTTTTTCTAAGAGTCCTTTCCCAAGGAAGCCCGCCCCTTCTTGCTGACATGTGCCCTAACCCCCTTCGTTCAGCAAAATTCTGAATTCTCTGCAACAGTGTTCAGGAAGAGAAAGGTTTTTAAGGACATTTTCATAGCCTCCATAAATTCTAGCACAGTGGGAAAATAAATAGCAAAGGAACTCAACAAATATTCATGACATAGGTAAATAAGCAAGTAACTGTCCTTGTTCCATGTTCATTAATGGTTCCATGTTCATGTGTGATTCAGATTTTGGGCTACACTTTGAGAACACTTAGAACACTTTTCATCTTCTCAATTGTCAAAACAAATTGTGCAACCCAGGTGCTGTGAATCTTCCTCTGGACCACTGGGCTACACTGAGTGAGCATGGGTTCCAGGATGCTCCTTAAGTCATGGTGATCACAATGGGACCCCTTCCCACTTCCCTGCTCCCAGTGGGGTTCCTGTGGGGTTAATTAAGCTCAGAGACAATGGCCACTGCCGGGGGCAGAGATTTGTCCAGAGTTCACTGCCCATACCCATACCGAGACAGGGGCTTCACTGCTTCCTGTAGAGGTCAGCGTGCTGTTGGTGATAGACTTCTTGGGCAGCTGTGGGCTGGCATCCGGCTTGGTCTCTATGCTGCTCTTGGATGAGCTGTCATTCACTTCGTTCTCTTCTACAGGGATCTCTTCACAGTAGCTGGAGAAGACACCATTGCAGGCTAAGTTAATCTCTAAGGTGGAGGCCACCAGCTAACCTAAGAACTCAGGCTTGTCTGTCAACCTGAAACTATGGGCTTGCCTGACTCTCTTCTTTGTTTATGATCATGCACCAACCAAAAAGCTCCCTCCTCCCCGTTGCTTCCCTGAGCTTCATTCCCATCTTTTTACCACCTCTCCCTATCCAGAAACTTCTACCTGAAAAGTCACCTTTTCTAGACAACCTCCTTAGATGTATGTCTACTAAAGCATAACCATATCTCTTTTTACTCTTTTCTGTTGTATCCCATAACATTCTGATGATCTCAATCTAGCATCTGGGCTTTGAGCAAATATTTCCTTTGTCAAATATCAACCAAGACTGGACTCTGAATACAGTATTCCCTCAGTAATATTGCCCAAATTACAGATTATAACTGACAAACTTCTCTTCATTGTATGTCCTAAATGAAGGTAGGTGTTGTTCTAGAGACACTTCAGGAGTGTCACTGTAGCAATCATCATCCTTACAGTCCTTGCTGGCATTAACATCTGACTTGTACACTTAGTAGCATCTGGATGTATTACAGCTCATGGAAAATCATTATGTTCATCTTAGACATCAGCAAATAGAGTTTGACAGAGCTAATATGACACCAGTATTAATGTTGTACCACGTCAAGATCTAAGAACTGTACCTTCAGTGCTCTTTCCTTGCTTTTATTTCACTAGATTCTCTCAGTAACATCTAGTCCCTACACACCTAACTACTGTCAGTCAACGCCATCTTCCCATCTTTCTAACCCTCCTGCAGCAGTCCATACAGTGAGAACCCTCATCCTTCACTTCTTGCTCTTAGCTTCTAGCGTACGAGACCCTCCTGCCTTGATGGATGTCCTTTCAAGATCTTTCTCTGCTTCCCCTTCTTGCTGAGTGCTTTTATGTTTAGCCACTTGGAGGACTGAGGTAACCCCACAGCTATCCACAAGTCACTCAGGTTTACAGCACTAGCCCATACTTCCCATGAACCCAAAAGCCATCCTCAGAATCTTACATCATCTCTCCACTTGGAGAGTCCCTGCTCCCTTGACCTGGCTTCTCTGACTTCTTCTATAGCCACAGAGCTCTGCTACTGTTCCCTCTGCCTAAACCATTGGTTCCCTCCAGGGCATCCTGCCGGGTGATACTCAGATACCACTTTCCAAATGATGTCCTCTCTGCCATTCTGATCCCATGTCCTCTGGGAAGCTCACCCAAGGCCACACTCACCCCATCGTGTTGAAGTCATCATCTGGAGGCACATAGTCCTCATCATCACTGGTTAGACCCAGCTCATTCCCGTAGCACTGGTGGACAAAGTGCCAGAGCTCCTTGGGGCACAGGGGCTGCAGGAGATAGGAGCGATATGTCTGATTCTCCCTCCCTCAGGCCCTGCTGTCCCACACAGAAGCACTAAGCCAGGCTGGTCCCGATATCGGGAAAGAAGCCCAAGGGCTGTCTTCCCAGATGAATAGAAAGGATGTCTCTAAACAACACCATCCACCTCACAGATCCCAGTCAGATGCCAATCCCCTGCCTGAAAATGTAGATTCCAACAGAGCAAAGGACAAGGACCTTCCACACCTGTGCCTTCAACAGAGCTTTGCAGAATGGGATTAACTGGTCCTTTGAGGATGGGAAATACCCTATCTCCTGCTCCTCCTACTGATGAGATCCAGCATTAAGTGAAAGAAACTCATGTTAACCTAGGGCCACAGTTACCTCAATACCCACAGGTACCCTGACTCAGTCTTGCAACACCACAGAAATTAAAGGTCATTCTCCCCAACCCTTTTCTGACAGTCTGAATACTTCCTTCTTTGTTCTGAGCAGCAATCAGTTTGTGCACAGTCCTACGTACAGTTTCCAGTGTTTGCTTATGGAGGCATGTCTATCTGTCCTATTTAAAAATACTGTCCTAAAAAAAAAAAAAAAAAAAAGCTAATTTTCATAGGGTACAATTTCCAGAAAGAAGCAAAGGAATGTCAAAAAAACTAAGAGCATGGTGGAGACCAGGAGTGAGTTAGACTGGAAAGAACTGACACCTGTGTATGTGAAAGAAGATAAAAGTGTAAGCAAAATTGATGCAACTAATAACTAAGAAAAAAAAAATTTAAGAATCTTTACAGTAATAGACTTTCTAAATAGTGTGAGATGTCTGAAAACACACAGTTGAAAGAATGGTTACAGCATTAGGATGGATACCTTGTGTCAGTTTTCCAGTTTCCTCTCTTAGTAGAACAATCTTGAATGATGACTGGGTCCTGGCTCTGGACCAGCAAGTGTTGAGTGTAACTTTCGGTGATGGCTAAGAGAATAAGCCCTTCATCTTTTATCTAGATAGCCCCTCCTACCTCTAGCCTTTGTGGACACCTTTCTTCCTGCCTGGGACACACGTGCTTTCTGTCAAATGCTTGTCCTAGACTAATTCACCGTTCACTGTCCTTTCCTTGAAATTGCTTTCCCTGACCAGTTCTTCCTGGCTCAGCTAGAGTCCACAAATTCAGGACAAGCATAGTTAGCAGACCCTCACTAGGCAAAATTAATAAGAGCTATTTTGGAAGACACTTAGATGCCAAATGCATGGCTCTGTGTCTTATTCAAATATGACAACAGATGTAAACTTAAAAAAAAAATCAAACTTGGGGCTAAAAATTCAGACCACTATCTCTTTACCATTACTAATGTCTAACAAGGGCAGGAGATCTCAGCTTAAAAAGCTACCAAGATTTATAAACAGGGCTCCAGATGCTCAAATTAGAAGAAACTTCAGAATAAGCATTAATTTATTAGGTTTTCTTCAAATAGTAATTAGACTAGCCTAAAGTCAAGGTAAATATAAGGTAAATTTAATATACTCATGTCAATCACATGGTAACCTAGTTGGAGGCACATATTTTCACACATACACACACATAGAGATTTTTTTTTCCTTATTTTTTTTCTAGCCTGGAGAGTCCCCGACATTTGACAGCTTTGAAATGGGGACTCTCTCTGCACCTGGGCTGCACTATTCCTTCTGTGTCTCCTTCTCGCCTAGCTCAGCCACACCAGCTGTCAGTTGGTGGCTGTCTTAACTGAGTTCTCTTATTTTCTTCATTGGTCATTCTCTGGGACCTCATGTTTTGTTAACCAAAGCGGAACCTCCCAGGATTAGCAGGTTCTTAGACTCATTTGTGGATGCAGAAATCCTCAAGTTACCTCTGTCAGAGCCAGGTCCCCTAAAACTGGATGTTGGGCAATTAGGGATAGGCTATAGACCCAGAAATTGCTACCCATGGCTAATCCTATCCCTGCATCATCTTGCCCTCCCTAGCTGATCCCAGGAAGCCACAGTAAAGGCTCTTGCCCACCCTTCTACCCCATTTGCCTCCTGACCAGCCCCACTGCTTCTCCACGTGGTCTGGCATGACTGGCATGACCAGCCATGGCGTGCTTCATTTCAGGAGAATGTGTAGCTAGGAAACCTGTTTTCTTCACAACAGTCATTTCCATGGCCTCCTACTACATTCCACTTGACCAACCCAATCCCTAGAGAAGTATGAAGCTGCAAGACTAACGTGCAGGAAGTCACAGGTGCCTTACTCCTGATAGAACTAGGACATGTTCACAAGGGAGCTGGCTCTGCTGAGGACTCGGGTCAAGATTACTAGAGCCAGGGGCTCCTCTAGAGCTGGCCAATTCCACAATAAAAGCACACTTCCCAACTGGGGCAATATCTAAGTGAGAAAGACATTGTGGGTGAAAGGCCTCCCCAGGCTAAAGGACAGAGCCAATACCCTCTACCTATCATCCTTTTATCTGTCTTGTCTGTCTGTCTCTCTATCTATCCATCGACTAATCTCTTTACTGGAATTAAATTTTATATTTTTTCATATAATAAGTTTGACCATATCCTTTCTCCCCTCTAACTCTTTCTAGATTCTTCCTATCTCCTTACCCACCTAATTTCATGCACTCCCTCTTTTGTTCTTTCTCTCAAAAATAAAATAACAAAACCAAAACAAACTATACACACACACACACACACACACACACACACACACACACACACACATACATGTATATACATATACATATACACACACACACACACATCTATATATAAAAGAATAAAATCAGTAAGACAAAAATATATCAAAACAAAGTCAGAAGCACACACCAATGAACTGAATGAGTTTATTTTGTGTTGGCCAGCTACAGGTGGGCATGAAGACTGACCTAGAGACTAGTGATAGACCCAGTGACACCCCATCTAAGAAAACCGATTTTCCCTTTCTCAGCAGGTATCAGTTGAAAATAGCTTCGTGGCTAGAAGAGGCACCTACTTCCCCTTCGGGACTTACCTTTTCCAGGAGAGCATTCTGCCAGAGCCGGAACATCATCATGTACGTTCTATCCCGGGCCCCAAATGAAGTAAAAAAGTGCTAGAGTGGAGCAGAAGGTGCAGAGAGACGTCTGTGAAAGCTTACAACATAGACAACATAGACACAATCCTCCTTTTTCTAGTTCAAGATATGCAGTCTCAAATGGTACCGACTGGCAGTTATCTAAAACTATCAGCACACTAAGCCCCTCTATGACCAAGTCTTTCAATATTTTGCCAACTTTCTTCTGCGTTTTTTTTTTTTTTCTTTTTTTAAGTTCTAAATTGTGTCCACACCAAAATATAAATGTTCTGTGCGCTCACCAACTGGAACTGGACAAGGGGTGAGCTGGGATACAACACAAACAGAACGAGACAAACCTACTGGCCCCCGCAACCTTCAGCTAAATCTATACATGCCTGTGAAGGCTATCCAATCTAGTCTACAGTCACTGGACTCGAAGTCAGGTGTTCTAGCTCGGAGTTTAAAGTTCTACTATGCTAGCCTGACCCCTGCTTAGCCTTCAACCCCTCTTCTCACCCAGGGAGTACTTTCTAGAACTTGCACCCTGCCTACTGCCTACCACTTCAAACCCGTTAGTCTAAGGATTTAGGGTGACTTAAGAGCGGCAATACAGATGTGGGGAGATGGGGAGCGAGAGGTGGACAGTGCAGAGGCAGAAAGGGCAGAACTTGACACCACTCACCTTTTCTGAATCAGTGCAGACTTGGATGGCGTTGGGAATGAGGCGAGCTGTTTTCTCTTTAGTCATGGAGCAGATGTCTTTCAAACGGACTGTCAGCTGGCATCCCCATGGTGACAGAGCATGAGTAACAAGCAAAAGAGGGCATTAGTATAACCAGGCAAGGAGTGTTCGCGTGGCACTAGTAGTTGCCAGACAAGATCAAATCACGATTCTCATACCTCTGGCTCTGGGAGGAACCAATTTAGAGACCACACAGTTTACAACCTACATCACAGAGGTCGTACACTAAGAAACAATTGGGCCTATTTTCCAGCCATGGGCAATTAGACTGTACAACCTGCTACACGGGCAAGGGCCTGCCATTTTTGCTACTTACAAAACCACAAAATATTGGTGCTGGCTGGTCCTATAATATCATCTAAGTAACCTTTCTCCATCTTATTTTAAAAGATGAGGAAACAAAGGCAAAATGAAGAAGAAGAAGACCTCCCACTAACTTAAAATTACAATTAATAAAATGAACCAGAAGAACCCAGAAGGAGTCTGAGTCAGTTCTTCTGAATCCTACAGCCAATGTCCTTTCCACCTTACTGTGCCTCCCTTTGCTGTAATTCATATCAGATAGCTATCTGCATTTGCCAAAGAAAAATAGCTTTTTATATTGTCCTCCACACCCAAGAGATGGGAAAGAAATACATGATGGAAGAGATGCCATTACTGGGAGTATCTTGCAGTGTTCAGGCATGGCTTTGTGTTAACAACATAAGGGCAGAGACAGGTGGAGTGGCACATGCCATTAATCCCAGCACTCGGGAGGAAGAGGCAGGCAGATCTCTGAATTTGAAGCCAGCCTGGTCTCTACAAAGCGAGTTCCAGGACATCCAAGGTTACACAAGGATAAAACAAAATAACCCTTCCCTTGCCCCCCCAAATCAAAACAAAACAAAACCAAAAAACCAAAAATTGCACAGTATAAAGTCTTGGGGAAAATACAAAGTCAGTAAATGAAGAAAATGAAGGCAACTCGCTCAGTCCTGGACAAAGTGATGGCCAACAGGAACAAGTCTCATTAGGGAGACCAAACCTGCATCCCACACAGTCCCCCACCAAGCCAAGTCCAAGCTCTTTACCAGGGTTTCCCAGCGGAAGATGTTGCTGTAGAAGCAGATCCAATTTTCTGAGAGGTAGAGTCGGCCCTGAAGAAGGATGTCTCTTTGGAGTGCACATGAGTAATCTGTGTAGGAAGCGGGATATGGAAGCTCAGAGGCAGAAGACATTTTCAGCCAACCAGTGTACAGTGAGCATGCCATCCGTGGCCCGTCCAGCACTGGGGGAGTCCAGCCATCTGCTGCTGACTGAGTGTGCAGCCAAGGAAATCTCTGACACCTCATGGTCAGAACACAGAGGAGATGAGGTACAGTGCTGCCTGGAGTCGGGATAATGAATGAGTATGACAGCCAATGACTGGCAGGGTTTTAAAAAAAAATTAAAAAGGCCAGGGCTGTTCAATTAATGTCCATCTCCTACTGCCAGGGTAGCAATTGGTTCTATGGAGCAGCCATTTGCAGAGGTTAACTATGCCTCTGAACTGTTCCTGGGTAGGCTCTCAAGGATGCCACAGGCATGGTGCTGGATCCTAGGATCTGGGACTTAAGATGTCTGAGTTGCTCATGTTTATTTGCCCTGTGGCCAGCTCAACCAGCTTGCTTGTGTTGGCTCTCAGCCCCTGGTCAGAAGCAGCCTGAGTGCTCTCTCTGGAACTGCCAGATTTCCTGGTTGGCCCCCTCCCAGGTCACTAGCTCACCAACAATGAGGCGCTCCGTGTCTGGAAGTTGCTTAAAGAGCTTTCTGAAGTCTTCATTTCTCTGCTTGTACGTGGGGCTTAACACCTGCATGACAAGAGATTAGCATGATGTACCCACATACTGTAGGATTAGTGAAGGTGGGTGCAGGGGTTGGGGAGGGGGACACTTGTGTGTTAGAAAGACAAAGAGATGAAGCTCTCTTCCCATAGTCCCTGGCAGGGGCCTTGGCATGAAGAAATAGCATAGAGGATCTGGTCCTGAAAAGCCCTCCATACAGCACTGGCCAGTGAGAAATATGAAGCCGGGGTCCACACATATCCTAAGAAGAGAAAGCTAAGAAGGAAACCTTCAAGGGTCTTCGGGGGGGGGGGGGGCTATGGTGACAGCTATCACTGCCTGGCTTCCTACCAGCTCTACCTCAGCAATGGAAAGGCCCTGAGGGCAAAGCTAGCTTTCAGCAGAACTTGGAAGAGGACTGAGCACTGTGTATCTCTCAAAGTCTGTTATGACTAATACAGTGAGCTAAAGACAGGATTTTTTTTTTTTAAGTCATAAAACATGCCACTAGAAAAAAAAGTTTCCAAGTGAAAAGTACATCTGGCACACAGGTATGGCACTTCCCTCCCTAACTTATCAAATGCTCTACCAAACCAACATACAGTGAGGAAACTGAGGCAAGAGAAAAGTCCCAAGCCCAAGGGCACCCAACTGCTATTGAGTGGCAGACACCAGGATAAGAACATAGCAGTCAGACAACCAGGGACTTGTACAGAATAAAGAAGCAGATCCCCAAAAAAATGTGTATCCCTTGCAGATTCATTCCCATAGACTAACTTAACAAAGCTTCCTCGGACATGCCACCAGCCGGTAAAATAGTTGGGAATTCTGCCCTTTCAGAACACACAGTCTTAAAAGCTTTAAAAAAGGGCTGGAGAGATGGCTCAGCAGTTAAGAGCACTGGCTGCTCTCTAGAGGACCCAAGTTCAATCCCCAGCGCCCACATGGCAACTTACAACTGTCTGTAACTCCAGTTCAAAAGGATCTGGCACCCTCACACGGACAAACATGCTAGTAAAACATCAACATCAATGCACATAAAATTTTTTTAAAAACTTAAAAAATGAATGGAAATTTGAAAACATTAGTTGAGCCAGGTACCTTAAATCCCAGCACTCGGGAGGCAGAGGTAGGCAGATCTCTATGAGTTTGAGGCCATCCCTGCCTACAAAAAGAGTTCCAAGAGAGCCAAACCCTGTCACGAAAAACCAAAACCAAAACCAAAAAAAAAAGATGGGCGGCCATAGATGAATGACACTCAAAGAGTGCACAACCAGCCAGGCAGTGGTGGTGCACAGCTGGGCTACACAGAGAAACCCTGTCTTGAAAAAAACAAAAAACAAAAAACAGCAACAAACCTCCCTCCTGCAAAAAAAAGCATATACAATCTAGATAGAGCCACACATGAGGACACAGGCATATCTGTATTCCGCCCAGACATGTGCTGACCTACTTACACACACACTAGGCTGCTGACCTCTGCTAGGGACACATGCCTGAGGGACAGATTGTCCTGCTGTCAGTGACATGTGGTTCCTGGCCTCTTACCCTCTCACCCACTTCCCTGGGAATCCATGGGCACACAGCTGGTGAGGAACCGACCCTTCAACTGTTCATATTTCAACTTTCTATGAAGCTAAGTGACCCACATAGAGACAAAGTCTGGAGACTGATCACGTCTGAACCAAATGCTGCCAGCCTGAGCTACCACCTGACATTCTGACGAAAGGACAGGAAACATGGAGAAAATCTGAGACAGCAAAAGCTGTGTAAGTTTAGTTTGGATAACTGCTCTAAAAGGGAGAAACCGGAGAAGAGCTGGAAAAAAAAAAAAAAAAAAAAAAAAAGGAATTTCTCATCAATACTATAATTTGAATTTCAAGCTTTTGTTTTTGACTTACACTTGTAATATGAGAGGCCCAGTTACCTTCCCCCAAAGTGCCCCATGTTATCAGACAATTTCAAACTTCCCAAAACACCTATGTGTGCTTGAACCAGGTTCCCAGGCCATCTGGAAGCTTATGTATCCCACGATCTCTTCAGCTAGAAAAGACCTGATAAAACAGTCCTCTAAGAATCACCAAATACTATGCAGATGCACCTCACGCCCCAGCCTCTTACAACAGAATCCACACCTGGGGAACCCCTTGCTTGGCAACCTTGCTTACTGCTCAAATTCTAATTATCTCTAACTCACTTTCTAGACTGCTGTAGAATGAGTGAGCACCCGAGAGCAAGCACAAGGCCGTCACACACGCCACCACACGGGCGGATTTTATTATCCCACTTCATGCTTGCGCAGAGGGAGGCAGAGGTTCAGCCACTTGCCTGAGGAATGCAGAGATGCAGTGGGAATGGAGTGAAAAAGAAACAAACGGAGCTTCCCAAAAGCATCACACTCGTGGGAGGAGACATTCACCTGCTTTGGGGCTCCCACTAGCCTTTCACGTCCCTGGATGAGTCTTTACAAAGCTCCTCCATGAGGAGCAGCCTACCGAGTGGCCCCCAATTCTCTTCAGGGGAAACCGGGTACCGGGCGTACAGTTACATGATACCAAGTTCCAATTCTCATCCGTAGCGCCCCCTTCCCTGGGCTTCTATCATATTCAATAAGAATTCCAGGACCCACTGAGATGGAGGCATAGAAGTCTAGGTACGATCTCCCAAAAGAGAGCAGGAGTTGATATTGTGTGCTTAAAGCAGTGGGGAGAAACGGGAAGTCTCACATTTCTACCTACCTGCCCTTACTCTAACCGTCTGCTGCTGTAGATGGTAGGCCAGCCTCTCTTTGTACTAAAAGCACAAAGACACATTAAGACGGGCATGCTAGGCTAGGTTTACAATCTCACGTCTCTTTCGATGCTAAGGAACCTAGCCCTCTACGCTCACTGTGTACTCTTCAAACACTCTCTTCCAAAGGTGAAGCATGGCTCACCTGTATAAAACGCTCAAAGAATTCTGGCTCAAGTGTTGTCAAATCTGAGGCTCTCAGCAGGGCCAAGAGGGGCATGAGAGAGTGCATAGAACAGTGACAGGAACACAGAGAATTTGGGTCACACACTCACAGCCGGGATTGTCTCAGATCCGTGCCAGCAGTAGCATTCTGCACCAACAGGTGCATCAGCAAGCCTCTTCAAGTACCACAGCAGAGACTGGCTGTCCAGTTCCAGAAGGAGGCTCCAAAGGACCCCAGATTCTGTCAGAGATTCCATCACCCCCAACAAATGTCCCAGGCCAGGGACCTCAGGTCCTTAGGCTGATTCTCGGGTTCCCTCAGAATGAAAACAGTGAGTCTTGCTGATGATCTCTGAACAGAGGGTCTATATAAACCTGGCTGATACCCTTTCCTCTCTCAGAGCTGTGCTCCCAGTTCAAGCTCTCACAAACAAAAAGATGTAAGAGGCATGGTTCTCAGAGGAGCAAGCTGGCTGGCCAGTCTACCACAGCTGCTTCATACTTCCCTTGTCTTCAGTCTCGGGGGAGTCCAGAGGGGGTGTGGCCAGGCAATACCCCCTGGCTGGTGCAGTCACTCAAGAGTCCGGGAAAAACCAGAAGACACAGATACAGCAGGTACACAACACAGGCTGAGAGTTGCGGAACTGCGGCCCCACGTGAACAGGCGAACTCTGCAGAGCACCGTGACCCACAGCTGGGTCCAGAGGTCTATTCCCACTGGTTACTCACACTCAGAGTGACTCACAAGTGGTTCGGAAGCTCCAGAGAGGCCCATAACAGTCCAGATCTGCCTTCAAAGATTAGCCTGTTCAGTCAATGTACTTTCTATCCACCAGCTAGGCCTGGGCCGTGCTGTGACTCATATCTCTCACCCAAGCAGAGCGGGCCACCACTTCGCTCCAACACAGGGCCTGCTCTCATCCCCACCCCTGCACACACCCCTTTTTCCTCCAGACCGTGCTCCTTTCAGCTGGCCAGCAAATGACTTCTTTGTTAAGAGTCACTGGGGACTGAGGGAGGGAGGCAGGGCTGGTGGGCGGGCAAGGCCAGAGCCCCGCACATGCTTCAAGTTACAGGATCTGGGTGATGGGCCTGGCCAATGTCCTGCAGTAACCCCGGGCCTAGCCTGGCCTCACCAGCAGATGTTTCCTGAAATGGAAAGTTGCTGGCCAGGGCTCTCAGTGGACGAAGAGAAGGGGAGGTGCCAAGGACATCATAGCTCTGGTGAAATATGAAACCTAAGACTGAATAGACATGGGATTTCTTAAGGGACAGCTCTCCTCGAAGGAACCCATGTATTCGGCAACTTCTCTGATGCCAACAGCAGCAAACATGGGAATCTGCAATGTGCTGGTCACAGAGAAGGTGGACAGGTGGGCTTGAAGAAGATGGGGTCTGTCTAAGGTGCTTTTCCCAAGGACTGTGTCCTAGCTTCCATGTAAGGACATACAGGACCAAAGCCAAGTATATTTGCAAGCAGCTGATCAGAACTTGAGGACAAAATAGCAAGAGCAGACCTTCTGGGCCCTGGTTAGAAGGAAGGACACAAGAGAAAGAGAAAGCCACCCAACCATCAAGGCAGAAAAGGGCCTTAGACCAGTGGTTCTAACCTGTGGGTCATGACCCCTTTGGAAGCCAAATGACCCTTTCAAAGGGGTCATGTATCAGATAACTTGCATATCAGATATGTACGTTACATATCATAACAGTGGCAAATTTCTAGCTATGTATGAAACAGCAACAAAAATAATTTTATGGTTGGGGGTCACCACAACTCGGGGAACTGTATTAAAGGGCCACAGCATTAAGAAGTTTGAGAAACAGTGGTGTAGGCAGAGAGATAGAGAAAGGATGCACAGCATTGGGACTGGAAGGGCGTGGACTCCAAGATCCTTGAAAGAATTGAGGTAGCTCCCTTGTTTTACCTAGACCTCCTACTCTATGAGGAAGGTCTTAGGGTGGTGCATCATGGGTAATGGTGCTTTGTCTTATAAGACATAGTAATTTCCTAGGCTTAAGCTTTCGCATAATGTAGATTCTTGGGTCTCAGGCTCAGAGACCCCAATAACCAT